GAAAGGGAGCAAGTGGAGCAGAAGTGCAGGAAGGTGTCTGAGAGCCAGGTGGGGTGGCTTCCTTCAGCATTTACCCTGTCGTGGTCTATGGGGAAGGTCAGAGCTCCCCAGGGAGGGGGCAAGGCTGGGCTGACCTGGGTGGGTGCTTGATGTTAAGGTGCCTGTGAGTGCTGAGAAGGTGGAAGGTGAAGAGCACCCAGAAAGCTGCGACAGCAATGAGAAACCAAGGGATGAGAAGCAAGAGGAGAGTGAAAGGGCTGCGCCTTCTCCTGAGCTCCTGGTGAAAGGTGAGTGTCTAGGGCTAGGATGGAGGAATCTCCTCTTAGCCATAGCCTGGGCTTCTAGTACTGATCTGTGCTGGAGCAGTTTCTGAACACACAGACAATAAAATCACCCTGCCCTAAAGGGTGAGTTCCCAGAAACGTGTTTTCCACATTGAGCTTTCCTCATAGTCCTGTTCCCTTCTGCAGATGAGGGGATTCAAGAGAAGGAGAAGCCTTTGGAGAAGCTGGAGTTAAACAACAGCCCAGGGAAAGGGGAGGACAAAGAAGTCAAAGCAGGTGAGGTGCGAGGAGACTTTGGGGCAAGAAGTGGCTTTTCTAACAGTGATGTTAGCGAGGAGCTCCTGGGGGAAGGGAGGACCCTAGCTGGTTTTTCAGTGGGGTACGATCAGACAGCACCACTTCTTGTGTTTGCCCAGCAGAGGACCCCAAGGCGGAGGAGAAGGAGCAAGGTGAGGCTCAGCAGAACGGTGACAAAGAGGAAGAGGAGGACAGGAAGAAGGATGACAGAAACGTGAACTTCCGATTCATGTTCAACATCGCTGACGGTGGCTTTACAGGTGGGAGCAGGGGGGTCAGGAAGGCCAAAGAGATGTGAAGGGGCTGCAGTGGGACGATGCTGGCTCCGCAGCTCGATGTCCCCCCGGGCAATGCCATTGCTCTCCCTGCCTGCAGCACGGTGCAGCCCCACTGCCTGACCCTGCTGTCCTGCTTCCGCAGAGCTGCACACGCTGTGGCAGAACGAGGAGAGAGCTGCCATCTCCTCCGGGAAGATCTACGACATCTGGCACCGCCGGCACGACTACTGGCTCTTGGCAGGAATCGTCACGTACCCTTTGACGTGGTGGGGCCGTGCCTCCTGCTGACGGGTGGCAGTGAGGGCAGGGGGTCTCCGCGGGGTTCAGGGAGGAGCAGGGAGGTGTTTGGTGCTGAGGTGGGCATGCTGTTCGCTGGCCAGTTCTCCCCTTGACGCTCCCTCGGCACCAGTCACGGCTATGCCCGCTGGCAGGACATCCAGAACGACCCGCGCTACGTGATCCTGAACGAGCCCTTCAAGTCAGAGATACACAAGGGGAACTACCTGGAGATGAAGAACAAGTTCCTTGCCCGGCGGTTCAAGGCGAGTTGCAGGTCCAGGGCTGGTGAGTCCTTACCAATGGGGGGGACCAGAGCGGTGCCGCAGAGCCATGGGGAGCCCATCGGTGCCGGCTGGGACCAGGCTTTGCCAGGGGCTCGTGGCTGCCAAAGCAGAGCTGAGTTTGGTCCTGGGGAGCTCATGGGCACCGGGGTGCATGGGCTGGGGATGGCTGCCATGGGCTCCTCTCTGTGAATGGGCCAGTGCTGTGCCCCGGTGATGCTGTGGAATGCTGCCCACATCCCTGTCGGGGATGCTCAGTGTCTGAACGGGATGAGCAAACATAAGGGCTAAGCCTGTTCCCCCAGCAGTTCTTGGGAGCAAGGCCAGTTAGAGCACATAAGGGCAGAGGCAGCCTAGAGCCCGTGGGGCAGCACTGATTTACGTCGGAGCGGGGTCTGAGCCTGAATCTTCCCCTCCTGTGCCTCCCAGTTGCTGGAGCAGGCCCTGGTGATCGAGGAGCAGCTGCGGAGGGCAGCGTACCTCAACATGACCCAAGACCCCAGTCACCCGGCCATGGCCCTGAACGCCCGTCTGGCTGAAGTGGAGTGCCTTGCCGAGAGCCACCAGCACCTCTCTAAAGAGTCCCTGGCTGGGAACAAGCCCGCCAACGCCGTCCTGCACAAGGGTGGGTGCGGGCAGAGCAGGGTGGGAAGGGAAATCCAGGCGGGAGGTTGTCCCCATCTGCTGGAGCTCGCTGGGACGCGGGGTGTCTGTGTCTGGTGGGTGCCCCCGTGGCCTGATCCTGGCTCGCTGTGCTCGCAGTGCTGAACCAGCTCGAGGAGCTGCTGAGCGACATGAAGGCCGACGTCACGCGCCTGCCCTCCATGCTGTCCCGCATCCCGCCCGTGGCCGCCCGCCTGCAGATGTCGGAGCGGAGCATCCTGAGCCGCCTGGCCACGCGCGGCGGGGAGCCCCCCGTGCAGCAGGTCTGTGGGGATGGGCACGGGCTGGAGCCCCTCGCTTTGGGGCCAGGCCCGCAGGTCAGCGTCCCTCCTCCCTCTTTGCCTCCACAGGGCTCCTTCGGCTCATCCCAGATCTACAACAGCAGCTTTGGGCCGAATTTCCGAGGTCCCGGGCCGGGCGGGATTGTCAACTATAGCCAGATGCCTCTGGGGCCGTATGTGACCGGTAGGTCGGGGGTTTGAGCAGATGCTCCCTGGCAGAGGAATCCGGGGGGGGATTTGAGGACCAGGAGCATCGCTGAAGGCTGCTGGGTGAGCAGGCTGGTTCCCCTTCTCTCCGCAGATATTTAGGTGTTCCCACGATTTTGCCCCCAGCTCCCGTTTCCAGCTGAGGTAAGATGTGCTCCTGCTCCGTGTTCCATTCACCAGGGTCTGTGGGATGCAGGAGAAGCTGTGGCTGCCCCATCCCTGGCAGTGTTCAAGGCCAGGTTGGACACAGGGGCTTGGAGCGAGCTGCTCTAGTGGAAGGGGTCTGTGCCCGTGGCAGGGGTTGGGGCTGGATGGTTTTAAGGTCCCTTGCAACCCAAATCATTCTATGATCCTATGACATGTGCAGACACATGATGGGGTAGGGGCTGTACTGGTGCCCCCTCATGCTGGTGTCTGAGTGCAGCCTCAAGTGGGTACCAGCACTGGAGGCAGGATCAGGATCCTCTTGGAAGCCCTTGGGCCGGCTGCTGCTGCCCAAGGGGGGTCCCACACTCCCCCTGCCCCTTGTTCAGCACCGGGGAGGGGGGGATCCGGACCCACCTGATGGGCACCTCTCCCTCCCCTCTCCTTGCAGCAGCCCCGGAGGAAGGGCAGGGGAAGGCGGCGTTGGCTGCGTGAGGATGAGCTGCTGCCGGGTGCTCCCGCTTCAAGTGTGCTTCAAGCGCTGTGCCCCCCCGTGCGGCCGGGACCGGGCTTCATTTCGTGTACATTCTTTTGCACTTTCTTATGGAAGACTTGAAGAGTTTGTCTGGGCAGGGCGGGCTGAGCCAGGGGAGCCGGTGCCACCGGGTTTGGTGGCGCGTGTATGTGAGAGGGGAGGCTGGATAGCCCGTGGGACAGGCCACAGGCTGAGGCACCCATCCGAGCTGGCTCCGGCTCCCAGGATTCCCCATCAGGTCCATTTCTACGTCCTCGTGTGTTTGAGCAAGTGCATGCCTGCTGCCAGCCCCGTGGCCGGAGCCCAACCAGCCCGGTGAGAGCGTTGGTGCGTCCGTGGGGAGGCCCAGCACCAGGGTCCACGTGTGCCAAGTTTGGGGCGTGTGGATGGAGGTGCCACGGGTGGAAGGGAGGAGGTGGCTGGCATTGGGATGGAGCCAGCCCTGAGTGGGGTGACACCGGTGCCCGAGGCTGGCGGCAGCTGTGAGCGATGCCCCCGCGTTCCCTTCGTGCTCCGTGTGTCCTGGTTTCTGTTCTCTGTGTTTTAATAAATCCCTTGGGAAGGACGAAGCGGGAGCCTCATGGGGGCGAGCGGTTGGGGGGGGGATAACGGGGATCCAGCCGTGGGGGTGAGGGGGGTCCAGATGCGATCCCAGCCCCTGCATCATCCTGCACACACGTGTGTGCACACATGTACGTGTGCAGGGTCCATGGGCAGCCAATGGAGCTGTCCTCTCCCAGCTCTGGCTCTTCCACGTGTGTTTTCTGCATGGACACATATGGACAACATAAATGTGTGTGTGTGTGTATGTGTCGATCTACATTGATAGCACGGTTTAGATATGAACAGGTATCGATGTGTAGGTATAGCTAAAGGTGTAGATATGCAGGTACAGCTATAGGTAGAGGTGTATGTATGCACACATTGTGTATTTTTATACATGTGTGTATATAATGTGATTTTAGTACCTGTGTGTTCAGGTGTCTGTATATGCTTATGTATATGGGTAAGTCAATGTATGAGGTGTGTATATAGGTATGGGTAGAAAGGCATATATACATGTAGCTATGGATGTATAAACCTGTCTTTACATTGGTGTACATACACATAACTGTATCTGTGTATATATATACACATATATTTTTGTAAATTATATGTGTATATGCACATATATACACGTGTAGATATATCTGTATGGATATACAGGTGTATCGATCTGTGTATATGCACAGACACACATCTGTATTTGCAATTTTTATATATTTATACATAAGAGTAGATATAAATACAGGTAAAGGTGTATAGTGTGGCCACACATATACAGTGCAAGATGTGTGTATACAGATATATGTACCTGTAACTTCATACATATATGTATGAGCATATATATGTTTATATATGCATACAAACATCTATGTAGTTATATATATGAAGGGCTGTAGGTATAGATACAGAGCAAGCAACACATCTAAGGGGGGGATGTGCATGCGTGTGTGTGTGTCTGTGGACACAGACCCCCAAACACGTGTTTTAATGTCTGACTTGTGTGTGTGTACACATAACCCCCTGTATTTCTATACATGCACACGCACACCTTTAGGGTAAGCATATCAACACACCCAGCCCTATAAGCCCTAAATTACAAATATGATTATGTCCATGTATATGTAGTCACGTTTCTATATAGAGGTGTAGAAATAAGCAGATAGTACATATCTAGCTATTGCTATAGATGTATGTGCACATGCAGCTGTATATACACACATTTCCTTATTTATCTGTTATTTCGGTATCTGTGTGCATATATATCCATACAAATCAATATATTCACAGGGATATGTACACATCTCTCTATATGGATATATACATACAGCTGTAGAGATCGATATGTCTGTATATACATGAAGACACGTCTGCATTTGTATGTTGGTATATGTGTTATATATGTGATTTCCACAGATGTGTGCATCTACCCTTGCATACATCTATGTCTACGTGTGAATGGGCATAGAGGCCTGTATAAAGACTGGTGTAACTATAGGGATGTAGGTAGAGATCACTGCACCTCTGAGTGCGCACACACGTGTAATCATAGCCACGTGTGCACATCCATCTGTGTGAATGCGGCTGCGGGTACCGCAGCGGTGCTGCACCTTCACACGTGTACCTGTGCACACACTGTGCAGACACATGCGTGTCCCTGCATGTACACATGTGCCTGGGGACCCACATGCTCGCACACTTCCCCACCCAGCCCTGTGCTCACCGGGGCACCCTGGCTCGCTCACCGGGTGCCTATGCCCATGGGGGAACCCATCATCCCCCCTCCGACCCCTGTCCCGGGAGGAGCAGGTGTTCCCATGGGATATACCACGTGAAGAGCTGGGGAACAGCTTCGTGTTGTCGGCCTCATTCGGACGTACAGCACCCGCTCGCACCGCCGCGACCACCGATGGCAGCGACGCATGCAACGGGTCCCCGCGGTGGCTCCGGCCCCGGTGCGCGCCCCGCCAGCGCCTGTGCCCCCGCGCCAGAGCCCCGCCGGGCGCAGCGGTGCGATGGGCTGGGGCAGCGCGGTGGGCCCGTGGCGCGAGCCACGCTCAACACTTTGCTCCCACAAAGCGTAAGCAAGCGATGGGGCGGCGAGGGCTGCGCGGCGGGCGCTTAGGAGCGGTAGTCCTTCTTGCTGTAGGGTTTGTTGCCCAGGATGCTATCGATCTCGTGGACAATGGAAGACGACAGCTTCGGAAGGACCTGCCGGGGACGATGATGGCAGTCAGGATCGTGCCGTGGGAGCAGGCGGGAGGATGCAGCCGCGCTCACCGCCTCCATCCCGTGACCTCGATGCTACGAGCCCCAGCTCTCCGGATGAGCGACCCAGTTAAGGGAGCCTGGGTTGAGCTCAGCCCAGCAAAGCCTCATCTCTTCCGCTCAGCTTCAGATGAAGCAAGCCCTGTGCTCTTTGGAGCCACGTTTGCAGCCTCTTTTTCCCCGCGCATTGCGCTGCAGGAGCGAGTGCTGCAGGCGCACGCGTTGCAGGAGCGTGCATTGCAGCACTGCAGCAGGAGCGCTGCCCCGTTGTGCCCCATGAGCAAAGCCCCCCGTGGTCCATGCTGGCGGTGAGCACTGACCTGTATTGCTCCGATGTTCTCCATCAGCTGGTCAGCGTTGGAGGCTCCCAGCAGGACGGAGCTGACGCCCTCGTTGCGCAGGCACCAGGCTGGGGCAGGAGGGAGAGCAGAGCCTGAGCGGGGCCCGGCTGGCCCCGGTGTCCCCCCGTGTCCCTGTGTCCCCCTGTCCCCTTACCGATGGCGAGCTGTGGCAGGGTGCAGCCCAGGCGCTCGGCGATTGCCTGCAGCTCCTTCAGCTTCGCCTGCTGCCGCCGGCCCTCCTCGCTCAGGATCTTGTCCTTCAGCCACTGGTATCCCTGGGGAGCGGAGCGGGGTTATGGTGGGGTTGGGGTGCACCGAGCCCTCACACGGGTGCAGCATCCCCAGACTCCATGGGTCGTGGTCGGTTACGCTCTCATGGCTCTGCCTGTCCTGATGTGACCCCTGGCCCAGGCTCACCTTCAGTGAGGCGCGGGAATAGGGGGGGATCCCCCCATCGTACTTCCCCGACACGATGCCGCAGGCCAGCGGGGACCAGGTCATGGCTCCGACACCTAAGGACAGATCAGAGTGAGGGTGATGCTGCCACCCCCAGACACTGCTGCACGGGGACTGGTCGGCCCCATGGAGATGGGCTCTGCCCCCCCCAGCCTGGGTTCTGGGGAGCACCATGGGGGCTAGGTCAGGACCCCCCTGCGGTACCTATCTTATGGAAGAGCTCGGGCAGCTGCACCTCCACCTTCTCCCGCTGGAACATGTGGTACTCGGCCTGCTCGCAGATTGGTGGGATCAGGTTGAACTGCCGGGCCACCGAGTATGCTTCCTGCCGGAGAGCCAGGACCCTCAGCACCCCATTGAGCTCCTCAGCCCCCCCGGCCAAGCCCCGAGCAGCCATCCGCAGGAGAATTAAGGCTTAAGCGCATCTGCAAGCGCCTGATTCCCGACAGCTGCTGCCCAATTACATCAGCATCACCGGGGCTGCTCTGCCGCCGAGCCCCTGGGGCCCCTACCATGATCTCCATGGAGCTCCAGCGCGAGGTCCCCCAGTACATGGCCATCCCCTGGTTGATGACGTGGGTCATGGCTCGCACCGTCTCTGCCGGGAGGGAAGGGGAGAGCAGCAGGCGGGGGTTAGGGGGATGCCGCACACGTGAGCATCCCGCTCCCCATGCCGAGGTGGGAGCTGGGTTGTATCCGGAGGATGCTTTTGAAGGAGCAGGACAGGGACTGAGGGAGCAGCCGCTCGGGATGTGCCAGGGACCACAGCTGACCCTGGCATGCCGCTGGTGATGCTGGGGCTCTCCCACCATGGAGGGTCCCGGCACTGGCCCCGCAGGATACCAGCACCGACTCGGTGCAGGCGCCTGAAGCATCACCCACGGCACGAGAGGGAGACCTGGACCCCATGCAAGGGGGGCTCTGGGGGCAGCCGGCCCTGAGCCATGCGGGCTGGGGCCAAGCCAAGGCGCGCTCCTGCAGCCAAAGGCGGGGAGAGCGGGCACCCGGCATGCTCAGAGCCACCCGGCGAGGAGGGATCCGCCGCGGTCCTGGCACGGCGGCAAAGGGCGCCCCGTGGCGAGGACCCTGGGGAGGCTGGGAGCTGCTCTGCTTCTGTCCTGGGGTTGGTCTGAAGGGCAGCGGGTGTTCTGGTTGTGCCGATGCTGCCTGTGCGTTTTATGCTGGGGTTTGCTGGGGGACAGGGATGGAAATCAAGAGGAACGGGGGGTCTGCCCCGGGAAGTGCCGCTGGGACGCAGGCAGCGGCCGGCGGGCAGGGAGTACCTTCTACGATGAAAGTCCTGGACTTGGAGGAACTAAATGGGTCCCCTGGTGATAAAAGAGAGATTTAGACAGAGTGGAGGCAGCCGCTGCCAGGCCGGGGGCAGCAGCCTGTGCCGCGCCACCAACCCGTCCCCATCGCTGCCCTGGCACCGGGCTGGGGTGGCAGAGGGTTCACCATAGATCAGGCTGACCGTGGCGGCGGAGGAGCGGACTCTGCTCGGGAAGGGAAAATGCCCTTGAAACAAAAGCCTGGCGCAAACCAACCGCGATGGCGACGGAAGGCAGCGGGGAGCAGCACGGCGCCGCGGCACGGCACCCACCTTCCATTGGCGTGTTGGGGTCGGGCCGGTTGGCGAACACCACGTCCACGTACTCCAACTGCAGCCGCTCCAGGGATGCCTTCAGCCCTGTGGCACGGATGGGACCATCAGGCACACCGCGCCCTGTGCCATAGGCTGCTGGGGCAACCAGTGCCGCACAGCCTGGCGCCGGGGCCAGCAGCGCCCGTGAGCATCCCTACCTTCTATGATGTGTTTTCGGGACAGGCCCCTCTCCGTCTCAGCCCTGCAAAAGGAAAGGTGGTGAGAGCCCAGCGCTCCCTGGCTCCGTTGCCGCGGGGCGGGTGCGTTACCTACTTTCCTCCCCAGAAGATTTTGGTGGTGATGACCAGGCTGGACCGTCTGCAGGGAGAGAGAAGAGTCACCGGCTGCTCCGCCAGCTTTCCCAGCCCATTGGCACCACAGCGATGGCTTGACCACAGAGGGATGAAGTCCACCTTACCTCCACCCTTTCTTCTTGATGATGTTCCCCAGCACCACCTCGGCCCTGCAGGGGAAGGGGATGTCAGTGCATGCGGTGGCTGCGGGGACGCTGCTTCTCCTCCGGCTGCAGCACCCGGAGCCGAGCTGCTCCCCACACGTGAGCTGCTATTTTTAAGCACGTGTGTGGGCTCCCTGCGATGCTCCGGGCCACCGCGCTCCGAGCGCAGCCGTGGCACCGGGAGTGTGCATGGCTATACCCACATGGCTCTACCCACATGGCACAGGCAGTGTGGGACCGCAGGAGCCAGCATCCCCTGTGACCAAACACAGCCCCATTCTGGCAGCAGCTTTGGTGCTGGTAAACCCAGCACCGCCGCGGTTTGGAGGTGCCGGGGTGCAGGGTGAGGCTCTTAGTGCCACTACCAAAAGCGCGGTACCTACTTGCCGGCGGCGTAGACTTCTGCCGTGTCGAAGAGATTAATGCCGTTGTCATAGGCTAAAGTCATCAGCTGCTCTGCCATCTGCGGGGGAGAGCAGGAGCATCAGCTGAAGGGATGCTGAGCACCGGTGCACACCATGCCCCCTGCTTCACTTGGGAAGGGATGGGGTGCAGGGGCACAATCCTTACCTCGTCTGTGATCTGCCCTCCAAATGTCACCCATGTTCCTGTGGAGGAGAGAGACAGGGTGAATGCGGTCCGCACGGTGAGCATGGTGAGCACAGTGAATGTGGTGAGCATGGTGAGCACAGTGAATGTGGTGAGCATGGTGAGCACAGTGAATGTGGTGAGCATGGTGAGCACAGTGAATGTGGTGAGCATGGTGAGCACAGTGAATGTGGTGAGCATGGTGAGCACAGTGAATGTGGTGAGCATGGTGAGCACCGCCTGCCACAGCCTCCAGCCCCATCCATCCACCCTGGCTCCTGCGGCTCAGCCCCAGCGTGCAGTGACTACAGTTGGCCCCGCCGCGTGCAGCGCGGCGCTCCCAGCATCGCCCAGTCACTTCCCATCATGTCAGAGGCGGAGAAGAGGAAAGAACTTGACAAGTTCTGGGCCGCCTCTCAAGACCGCCGCGGGGCCAGAGGAAAACCCTTTCCTTCCCTCCGCACAGCAGCGCCGGCAGCAGGCATGGGACCTAGGGGATGCTGAGGGGCTGCGGCAATCCCTGGCACTTACCCAGGCCCAGGCAGGACACGCGCAGCCCAGACTTCCCGAGGTTCCTGGAAGGCAGAAACCCATTAGGAAAACCACCAGAAAGCCCCAAAGTGCCATCTCATGCACCCGCGTGGGGCTGCGAGGTTATGGTCCCTGGTCCCCATCCCAATTCCCACCTCAGATGGTCCCACAGTGATGGTCCCCTCACAACTGATTAATAAGCCACACCAGGGGGAGCATGCCATGGGACCCGGGGAGATGATCATGCCTGGGGCATCCCACATGTGTCCCGAGCCGTGCCCGTTCTCTGCAAGGAGAACAGGGCTTGTGCGGGGCTCGGATGCTCGGGTGTCCTGGCGAAGTGGAGCATCCCTGAATCCCAGCCCTGGGAAGGGGGCCTGGCCGGCAGCCGCCTGCGCCCGGCGCTGGGGAACCAGCTCCTCGCTAAGAATGACAAAGACTCCAGAAACGAGCGTTAAAATAAATAAAGTGTAGGTGAGCCGCGGCAGCTCGCCCGCGGGTGTCGCATAGCAACCGGGGAGGCACCGCCACCGCCGCCACCACCGCCACCGGCACCGGGGTACCCAGCAGACCCGGCCCGACGGTGGCAAACCGCGGGTCAGGGCAGCTTCCATCCGCGCCGCCGCGTTATTGCTCAACATCTGGATGTGCAGCAGCTCCCCCCAGCCCTGAGTCGGTTTTAGTGTTTTGGTGGCGCAAGTCCCCGTGATGGGAATCACGGTGGGGATGGCACCAGCCCCATCCCGGCCATTCCAGCGTTGCCGGAGTCCTCCTGGGCTGCTGATGGGCACTTTCCTGCTCAAGAGTGCTGAGCGGCTGCTCAACAGAGATCTTGGGGGAGCCAAGCATCCTCCAGCACTGTGCCAAGACTTTCCTATCCCATCCCTTGGCATGGAGCATCCCCCCCGTGCCACTGTTCTCTGCAGCTGCCAGTCACCCCCTGCCTGCAAAAGGGTGGCCTTGGTGTGCTCCCTGGGATGGGGACAGGACCATGGAGCAGGAGAACTGAGCCTGGATGATACCAGCGCACATAGCCCCAGCGCTGCTGCCGCAGGGGTTTGGTGTTCCTGCCCGCCCCAGCACCCGTGCGAGGAGACTGCTGATGTGGATGATGATGGTGGTGATGCTGCCTTCCTCCCAGGCACTTTGTGCCTTGTGCCGGTCACATCTGGGCTGCAGCAGGGCAGCTGGACCGTGGCATGAGGCTGATCCGTGGCGGGGAGTTCCCCTGTGCTCTGCTCCAGCACTGGGGACATGGAGCACATTAACCCAGTGGATGCTGGCCGGGGAGGCACAACGCACACAAGCTGCCCTTCGCTTCCAGACCCGGACCCGGATCCAGGCTTTGCAGGGAGGTAAGTCTCCGGCAGTGTGGTACTGATGCCATAGCATCCACGGATTAACGCACACCAGGGCTCTCAGACCCCCCCCCCCCCCCTTCTCCCGGCTCGGCAGGCACTGGGATGCTCCTAATCCTACCCCAGTTTCAGGGCTGCCCCCTCCATGCCACTGGCTCAGAGCCGGAGAGGGGACAGGAGGGAACAGCGAGGGAAGCGAGAGGCGCACGGTCAGCACTTTTAGCACCTAGAGAACACAACCCGGGGATTAGGGGAGCGCGGCACAACCCGGTCGTCCCCCCCCACATCCCCCCCCAAGCACCGCGCATCCCCCTAAGGAGCAGCAGAAGCAGCCGAGCAGGCGGCAAACCCACCGCGCCCGCGCCCTACCGGTACTTCATCCCCGGCTGCTTGACGCTGGACTCGCTGGAGGAGGGAGCGTTCTGCACCGAGAGCTGCCCCAGGCTGCGGGCCACCATGGCCACGGCCCGGAACTTGCCGCGGGTGCCGAGGCTGGGGCTGCCGGCATTCTGCCTGTTCAAGCGGTCCTCGGCGCTCCGGCTCTTGATGCTGTGCTCGGAGCACACAAAGGAGACCTGCATGCTGCTCCGGCCGGCAGCCGCCACAGATGCCTAAATTTAGCCGGCGCCCCGGGTGAGGCGGGAGCTCCTCCCGCCCGCCGACGCTCCGCCAACGTGACGGCGGGGGGCTGCGGGCACCGGGCGGCTCCGGCGGCCCTCCTGCCCTCAATACCGGGGGAGCGCCACGGGGTCGGAGGACGGGGGGATGCAGGAAGGGGAGCGCCGCGGGGGTACCCCCCGTTGCCACCCCCCCTGCGCCACATCGGGCACCCCCTGCGGGCATGGTGTGGGGCGCGGCGCGGGGCTGAGGTTTGGGGTGAAGGGGGGGGTTCCCTCCGGCCACAGCGACGCTCCTGCGAGACCGAAGCACAACCTGCCGTCAGGAGCGCTTGCACGGCGCCGAACGCACCAGAGCACAGGCAGAGATGATGCCGGCGGCTCTGCTGGGGTTACAGCCCATGGGTCTGCCGAAGCTGCACCGGTTGCTCCCCCCCCCCCCACGCACACGCCGGGGGTGCAGCCACAGCAGCGCATCCCCCAGATTTCATCCAGCATCAGCGGAGAGGATTGAGGCAAAACCCAGCCCAGCAGCTCCCGCTGAAGGAGCGACGTGTGTTCAGCCCTGACCTAATGAGGAATCTTGTAATCTCCTCCGCTTCCCTCTGCCGCAAAGCTCCTTAGCTGGGTAATCCCACCAGTGCCAGCGCTGGCACCGCTGCGGGGGGACCTGGCACCAATCAGCAGCTCCCCACAGCAGGAGCAACCACAGAGATTTTAGGGGCACCAGCCCGAAGGAGCACCTTTGGGGGTGCTGTGCCAGCCTCTCCCCATCAATAAATAACGAGCCCATGAATATTAGATGGGCTCTTGCCACTGTGTAAATGTTACCTCTGTCATTGTGAGCAGAGGGGAACCTGACCCGTGGCACGGCACAGCACGGCATGGCAGAGCCACAGGGCCCCTGCATTGTCACTGGGGAATCAGCTTCTGTCCCCAGCCCAAACCTAATGGGGGCACCCATCCCTGCACCCCATCTACGATGGGGAGAGCAGATAAGGTGTGCTGGGCATAACAGCCACGCGCTCTCATTAGAGCCACGTGCCTGGCTGCCCGGTGCATCCTCCCTGCACCAGCGGTGATGAGAAGGACCAAAGTCACCTGAAACCCTGATACACCTCGTGCTGCGCCCGGATCCCGCATGCAAACGAACGGCGTGCCGGCTCCGCAAGGGACTGCTCCTTGTGCTCCTCAGGCTGGTGGAGCATTTCTGGAGCTGTTTGCTCCACCTGCCTGCTCTTCACAGGCGCGGGGGGCTTTTGCGCTTGCAAACTTCCCAGCAGCAAAAGGGGATGTCAAGTGAGAAGCTGAAAGCTTATCGAGCAAGCAAGAGGTGGCGGCGCTGACCTGCCTCCCCCTCACACACCATGAAGATCAGCCACGACGCCATCGCCCGTCCCAGTCTCAGCACGGCACTGGGAAACTGATGGAAGCCGGACGCAAGCCCAGCACTAAACTCCATCCCATGCCCCGGCGCTGCCCTACCTGTACTTCATGCCGGTGGCGCGCGCGGTGCTGTCGGCCAGGGACAGCCCATGCATCCGCAGGAACTCCTCCAGCGTCTTGGCCCGTGCCGCTGCCCGCACGTCCCGCAGCCGCCGCAGCTCCAGCCCATCGGCCGGCCGGGGCGCCGGGGGCAGCCCCCACTCCGGGGGGTGCCGGCTGGCCACGCTGCGCAGGCTCTCGCTGTACGTCATGGACAGCATCCCGCTGCCGTGGCGCGGGCTCCGTGTGCCGGGCACGCTGCCGACCGCTCGGTGATGCTATGGAGAGAGCTGGGAGAGCACCCGCTGCAACGCCGGGGTCCAGTGATGCTTGGGGCAAAGCCTTGCCCGCGCCATGATGCCGGAGCTGCGGCGCAGGGACCCTTACAAAGCCAGGCGCTTCAGCAGAGTAAAGCCTTGGTAGGAAGCCGAAGCGCAAAGGAAGAGCATGGCAGCATGGCAAGGAATGACGCGGTGATGGGCAGCTGGGGCTGCAGTGGGTGCCCACCATGGCTGTGCCAGCCTGGTGAGCTGCTGCAGCCTGCTATGTGCCCTGGTTGCGCAGCCTCCCAGTCACACCAGTTGGGTTGCAATTGGGAACTGGTAGAGGTGGGGTGAGAATCTGGTGAGAATCTGGCACTGAATCCCGGCAGGCGGGAGAGGTCATGATGGAAAAGGGGCTCCTATGGAAGGAGGGCACCCGCAGAGGGGCTGTGGCTCGCCAATGGCTGCCATGCCTGCGGCACAATGCCGCAACTTGTGCCACCATCCAGCACCTTCCCCACAGCCGCGGCAGCGACCTCCCAGCCGGTGCGGGCTGCCGAAAATAGGCTGCCGCAGAGTGGGCTCCTCGCACCCGAGGTGCTCGCCGCCGCTCTGGCTGGGATCTCACCAGCATCGATTTCCCTCGCAGTCAGTGTCTGAGAGGAGTGGGGACCGGAGCCAAAGCTGCGGCGCTGGCGCTGAAGCAGCGGCTGGGAGCGGGGAGCGCTTGGAGCCGGAGCTGCGCCGGCATCAGGCCCCAGCCGGGCTCCCACCGGTGGTGTTTTGTTTCCCTGTGAAGCTCAGGTTCACAGCAGCAGGAGCTGAAAGCAAAGCGCTCTCTGCCATTGAGGTGTGACCGTGAGAGAAGAAACCCAAGAAGACAAAAGGCAAGGGGAGACCAAACCCCTGGGCAGCTCCTGCAACACCAACGCTGCTGCTCCACAGCCAGGGCTTGGAATGTGGGGAAGAGAGGGGAAAAGGACTCGTCTCCTGCAGCAAAGCCAAGCAGAACCCTGACCACCTCTTCCTGCTGTGCCACAAAGCTGAGCCCAGAGCTGGCACTGCCAGCACCAGCCCTTCTCTGCGGCTGCTGGTCTGAACTGGGGCAGCACCGGTGGCTCCTGCTGAGCATGGGTGCAGCATCCGGCTCCAGTGGGATCCCTTTCCTTGACAGCGGGCAGGAAAGGGCTGCGCCGGCTGCACGGCTGCTCTAGAGCTTCAATGAAATGGCTGCAGTGAGCAGAGCCAGGTTTGGTCTGGGCTGCTTTGAGGAATGGGGCAGGATCTGCCTCATTTCGACACCCCTCTGGTTTTCGTCTGAGCCGTTGTGGGGTGATGGAGAGAGCGCGGAGGGAGCAGGTTCATCCACGTTCATTAGGAGAAATCCTGGCACTGCCTGAGGGACAAGAAGCAGGAGCTGCCACAGCCCAAGCAGGAAAGGAGCAGGGATGGGAACAGGACACAAGCTCTGAGCCATAACAGGGAACCATTAGCACGCACCCGGGGCACAACAAGTGGATGCACAGGGAAGCTGCTCAGAGAGGCTCTAACCAAGCTGGGAATCTATCGGCACTCAACAGCCTGCCTAAAACCAAAGAGACCCCAAGCCCCCAAACCTCCCCAAGCCAACACATCGCCCGTGCAGAGCACCCTCCCTGCTGCCCGCACAGGCAGTGCCCATCCCCGTGCCACCAGCCCTGACTCACCCACACACCAGGGCTGCTGCTCACCAACAGCACCGCTGTGGGCAGCCCCGGGCAGCTTTAAGAGCCGGGAGGTTTTGCATTAGGGGAGTGTCAGCGCTCAGAGTCCAAAGCAATTGGCGGCTACACCGGTCCCCCCTGAGCCCAGCTTTCTCGCCGCGCTCCATTAGCCCTATTAGGGGATTTTCTTCCCTTCGAAGGGGAGCTAAATTATTCATGGCCTCTTCGCTAAAAGCCGGAGCCGTGCCGCTGCTCTCTCGACATTGGCATCGCCGCCTCCGCCCGCAGCCGACCCTCGGCCCATGGTGACAGGTCCGGCACCACCGGCACCTGGGGTGGCGGGGATGGACGGGTCATTGCGCGGCGGAGCCCGTCCCTCCTTGGTCCCCACGGCGCAGTGGTTCAGTGCTGGTTCACAGCAGCCACAACACACCAGTGGCTTGGCAGTGCTGGGACAGGCGCCCTCGCGGTGCCACCAAGGCACCCGGGTGCGGGCCAGCCTCTCCTGTTGCCACATGAGGAGATGGAGCAGGGAGGCTGCAGCAACCTTGGGGGGCAGCCCCCCATCCTCTGCTCTGTTATAGCTAGGCTGGGTCCAGCATTGGGCTGGTCCTGGGGCTGCTGCAGCCCCAGCAACACTGAGGCTGCTGCTGGCACAGCGCGCAGGGAGAAGTTTCGCCTTCGCTTCAGACGGTAAAAGGGTGGAGAGGGCAGGAAAGTGTTGCTGGGTACCGCTTAATGATGCTCCTCTTAATGGAAGGAGCAGCGGACCAGCTGGCCAGGTTCCTGGAGCTGCCCTTGGGAAAAGCCAGCAGGCTCTTCCAGGAGCAGCATTGGTGCAGGATGCTCCAGAGCTGATCCGAGCCCCACATCCCTATGGCAGCTGACCCCCGGTAGCCCTCCAGCCGTGCTCCATGGCCTGGGGAGCTGGTGAGGGCAGCTCCAACCCACCCAGACACACACAAGAGTCCCCAGGTCGCAGTGCCAAACCCAGGAACGGGCAAAGACGCGGTGATGCCCACTGTGTGCTGGTGATGCTGGTGATACCCACCCTGTGCCAGCAGTGCCCTGGGCACAGGCAGGGTTTTGGTCATGTCTGCTTACCGGGGGGGCATGTTAGGGAGGGAAAGGGGCCGGGTTACCTGTAGAACTGGAGCTGGCGCTTGGGGCTCCCGTACCTCGCGCTTCCGACAGCAAAGGGGAGAAAGAAGAAAGATGCCACAAACCCCGTTAGAGAGGTGGAGCGGGACCGAGCGGCCGCGGGAAGGGTTGGTGGCACCCACCCATGCTGCATCCATGCAGTGGGCACTGGCACGCTCCCCGAAAGCACCCGCTCGTCCCATGGCACCCAGACCCGCCGCTGCTGCCATGTGGGGCTTTGCAGTCCAGGAGGTTTTGGCACAAGGTGGTTTTGGGGTGCCGTGGCCCCGGGTTTGGGTCCCCAGCGCCGCCCCATATCCTTACCTGTAAATCATGCCTGGGGAGCCCGTCTGCCGCAGCGAGAGTCGCGCCGGGGAGTCAGTGGTGGATTCGGGATACATGGAGCCAGCCTGGGCTCCCCGGAGCCGCTCGCTGCCTCACCCCTGCCACAGGGGAAAGAGAAAATGAGGAAGAAATGGGGGTTTTTGGGGCACGC